CAAAGATTTTAGAAAAAGATATGAAAACAATTTATTTAATAAATTACTTTTTAGTAGATTAAAAAAAGATAATAAAATAATTTATTAGTGAAAATATTTCTTAGTACAAATTAAAAAAAGATTTTAATATAGAAAATACTTTTATAAAATTGAATATTCATTTTCTTTCCATGTAAAAAAATTAATTTTGTTTCGATATTTGTAATAGTTTTTTTCTTTTAATAATCAAAATCTTTCTATTTTGTTTTGATATCTTTGAATTTTTTTTTTTTACATTTATTTTCGAAACCTTTTAATATCTCTAATAATTTTTTTCTGTTAATTTTCAAAATCTTTCTATTTTGTTTTGAAAATTAAAAAAAGAAAATTTCTATTTATTTCAGATCCTTTCGATATCTCTAGTAATTTTTTTCTTTTAATTTTCAAAATCTTTCTATTTTGTCTTGATATCTTTAAAAAATGTGTTTTTCTATTTATTTTGCAAAATCATTCGATTTTACTTTGATATCTTAAACAGATTTAATTTCGATGTTAAATGAAAATTTTTCCCTTTAATTTCCAATATTTTCCCTTTGAATTTCTAAAATTTTTCCATTTGCAGAACAAAACAGTAATAGTTTAAAAATTTACGAAAAAAATATAGAATATACACATAATTAGGAAACTGTACGTATTTCACAAGATTCATTGCGGAAGATAATTCATCTTGATAAACTTATCTTTGAATATTTTGTTATCTGTTTATAAAAGAACTCACATGATTACAATATAAGATAGGCCAAATCTTTAAATCTTTTTACTGATTCTTTGAAAATGAAAATTAAAATAAAAAACAAACTATTTCATACGTGTATTTTCCTATATGCGTATGATTTCGAAAACTTTTATATATCTTTATAAATATTCATATTTTTTTATATAAATATGTATAATATGATAATCATGCGTTGCGTGCTATGATTCATCAAGTAAATAAATTTCAGGGTGTCTATTATTTTCTGAATTCTCGTCTAAAAATATATTGTCAAGAATAATAAAAGAATTTCTTAATAACTGTTGAATAGAAAAGTAATTGACAGAAATATTTTGTGCATGCATAATAAATTAATAATTGTGCTTTAAAAATTTTTTCATTAATAAATAGTGGGACAAAGTGTTTCATAATTTTTTAATTTCTACTCCATGTTGATGATTATTTTTCCAACTTTCGTCTGTATAAGAAATTTAATTCATTTAATTTTATTTGAATGTGCATTTAATTGTTTAAATATATTATTACATTTTCACTGTTAACATAAAAGTACCTATCAAATTGCAACGAATTGATACCTAAAATGTGGTTCAAGTAAAAAATTGATTCAAATATTTGGCATCAATATTTGATCTACTTAAATATCAGTTTGGCACGTTCAAGAAAACTGTGTTAATTAATTAGTTAATTAATTAATTATTTTATTATTATTTGATAATTATTAGTTACTATTTGGTAATAATTAATTACTATTTAGTAACAATTAATTATTATTTGATAATTATTAATTAATATTTGGTAATTACAAATTACTATTTGGTCATTATTAATTATTATTTGGTAATTATTAATTATTACTTGGTAATTATTAATTTCTTATAGTTTAAGATTTCTTTTTGCAAAAATTCAGAAAAATGTTAGAACCTGTAATGCGATGTGTCAAAATTTTTCTGCTTCTGATTGACTTTATATTCCATTGTTTACTTTTTTTCACTCGATTTAATTCTCCTTTATTTTCTCAAAAACAAAAAAACAAAAAAAAAAAAAAATAGAAAAAAGAATGAAATTGAGAGAAATTCAAGCTTCACAGAGAGATGTCCACGGAAAATAGTTATTATTGGTTATCCAGTTACTTTGTTTTGTACTCTCTCTCTCTCTCTCTCTCTCTCTCTCGCTCTCTCTCAGACTGTCAGGTTTTGTTACTGCAGTGAATAGAGTATCAAAAGTTTTCTTCCAACAAATATATATACACACATTGCACATTTTGAAAGCACAAAAACGTGTTCCTTATTTTCTAACCCAGGGCAAATGCCACGAATTTACTCGAGGCAACACGAACTTAATTTTCAAAATGATCTATAAAATGTTCTGCTTTCTGCTACATTTAATTAGTCAAAAACTTTCTAAATGAAAATTCATCCCTTAAATACTGTCTCTTAGTTTTTTGCAAGAAAAATAATTTTACCTTAAAAACAAATTATAAAATTTTTACTTTTATTTTTATTTTTAAATAAAATTAGCAATTTTAAAAATCATAGAATTAAAAAATTTTCTAGTTTAAATTTTTGTTGAAAACACTAAAAAAAAATTCAATTTTGGAGAAATTACAAATAATTGCAAAAATTCAATTATTTAAAAAAAAAAAAATTCTTATAAAATTCAACTATGTTCAAAATTTGAAAAAAATTCTCGTAAAAATCCCAATTATCTTTATAATAAACAACAAAATTCTTCTCCAAAGTTCAATTATTTTCATAAATGTAAAAAAAATTCTTGTCCTAATTTCAATTATTTTCAAAAATAAAATGCATTTTTATTCTAATTTCAATGATTTTCAACATCTATTATTTTAATAAAATTTCCCAAAAAGTATTCAATTATTTAAAAAAATTTAATAAAATGGTATGCAAACATTTAATTTTTTTCATAAATAATAAAAATTTATTAAATATTAAATAAATAATAAAGTTTTTTTTAAGGAATTCAATTATTATTTTCATAAAAAATAATTTAAAATTCTGGAAAATAATAATTGAATTAAAAAGATGAAAATAATGTTGATGAAGTTACAGTAACAATATTCTTATGATATAAAATAATGATTTTATTTCTCCGTCATGTTTAATTATTAGAAATCCTGTTCCAAAAATAAGATTAAAAATAGGAATTGTGCAAATATTTTACTTCTTTTTCTAAAACAAAATAATAATTTTGTTAAAAAAATTGTGATTCATAAAGAAAATTAATGCAAAATAATTTAATTTTCTATTTCTTAATCACAATTGTTTAACAATTTTTTAATTTTGTTTAGAAGTAAAGAACAAAAATCTGCATAATTTCAATTTGACAAAACGTAATATTTAATAAAATTTTAGTCTTTTAATGAAAAGAAGTGAAAAAAATTCTGAAGATTTCCATTTGTCATTTCAATTTTGAATTAATTATAAAATAAAAATAATTCTAACATAATAATATAATATACAATCTATCTAAAGTTAACAAAAAACAAAAGTATAAACAAAAGACAACTTCAGAGTGTAAGGGACAGAAAAAGTGAATGAATGAAAGAATGAAAGAACATTCAAATTATATTATAGTTAATTAATAATAATAATAGTAATAATATAATCGTTTATTTTAATCAAATAAATTTATTTTCCACTGTTTAAAAATTAATATTTATATTTATAAAATAATTGTTAATATTTATAAAAGAAATATTCTAATTAATTAAAAATACAACACTGAGAAAACAATATTTTTCAATAAAAATAATTATCTTTGTTATACAGTCAACATAATACATAATAAATTTTATTCAATAAAAATTACTTATAATTGAATTATAAAATTAATATGTTTAATTAAAGCATTTTTCTTGGTTGGCTACATATTTTTGGATTGAAAAAAATTTTTCTAAATGAATACAATAGAAATTAAAATAATAATAATAATAATAATAATAATAATAATAATAATAATAATAATAATAATAATAATAATAATAATAATAATAATAATAATAATAATAATAATAATAATAATAATAATAATAATAATAATAATAATAATAATAATAATAATAATATGAATAATAATAATAATAATAATAATAATAATAATAATAATAATAATAATAATAAAATTGTTTATTTGAATCAAGTAATTTTTTTCAGTATATAAAAATAAATATTAATGTTTATAAAATAATTAATATTTATAAAAATGATATTCTAATTAATTAATCAAAAATATAGTATAATAAAAAAATAAAACAAAAAACCAATAAAAATAATTTAAAATAATATTTTAACACTTGAATTTTATAATCGCAATTTTAATTTTATAATTATCTTGTCAACGAGTGCAACTTATTTTCTTAACAAACAAAAGTTGAAAAAATTGTTTTCTCAACTAATATTATTTTTGACCTGTTGTCGAGAGGAATTAGTTTTGTGATTTGGTTTGTATATTGAATATTATTGAGTTCGACCCATTCCCCCGAGGATATAGGGTATAGTTTGAGAATATGGGGTGAACTGGAATTTAATATGAAAGGTAAAGCAAAATTAACTTCTAATATAAATATTTATACAATACTTTTTGTTATGGAAGTAGTTTCTTTTCTCACAGTTAATTCAAAATATCCCTCCTATATATAGTGGTGTATTTTTCCCCATATTTTATCATTTTTTTTTTTTTACTAAAATTTATTCTTATCATACGAGACGAAAATAGAATTAAAATCATTCTAAATATTGAAAATATTTTTCGAGAAACAATTTTTAAGTTAGGAACAAAAAATTAGAAGAATATTATTAAAAAAAAAAAAATTGTTTTTGTTTTTCTAATCAATTTTTCTCAAACATAAAATTCTTTTCAAAAATTATTAATTAAAATAAAAATAAATTATTAAATTAACTAAATAAAAATTACTTTACTAATTCAATAACTTTTTATTTTAATTATTTATATTTACTATTATATTTATTTATATTTATCATTTATAATTATATTATTGTTAGCAATTCATAATTATTCATTATATTTAATTATATTTACAAATAGTTAAAATAATATTTTAGATAAAATTTCCAAAATGAGTGACTAATTAGAAAAACAAACAGCACATTATCATCGCGATAGTAGTTGGGATTATATATTTGTTTGTGTGTGTGTGTGTGTGGGTGTATGAAAATCAATATACATAGAGGGAATAATTAATCACTTCTTGAGGATAATTACGTACAGGTGGAAGATGACCGGAAGCTGAGGAGGCAAATCTGCCAATAGAGGGTGCCAACCTCGTTAATCTCAGCGATAAAAGTACCGCGTACATCTTCTCCTTACGTCGATTAGACTCTCGAGAGTCGAAGGAATGATCGCGGTGTTCAGCAGCACACTGACATTCATTACAAGAGTTCCACGAGACAAGAAACTCTTATCAATTTTGATTAAATTCTATTATGCTGGTGGGGGCTCAGTTTCCTAAGCGATGCATTGGCGTAATTAACATTCAACAGAAATTGTTTACTCAAATATCAATATTATTATTATTATAATCATTATTATTTTTATTTTTATTATTATTACTATTTTTTATTATTATTATTATTTTTATTACTATTTTTTTATTATTATTATTTTTATTATAATCATTATTATTATTATTTTTATAATTTTTATTTTTATTACCAATATTTATTATTATTATTATCAATAAAATAAATAATATATGCAGAGAAAAGATATATTTGACTCAGAACCAACTAGACTGTTTATTTGTTTCAAATAAATATTATTTTGTTGAATTAAAATTTTATTTAAGTCGAAAAAAAATTTTTATTCAAGAAAAATAAATAACCTAATTGATTCTGAGACAAATATACGTTTATTTAACACAAATAAATAATTTTTGAATAATTTCAGATACAGAATTAAAAAATAATACACTTATTAATTAATTGATTATTAATTTCAAAAATTTTAATTTTATTCTTAGCAAAAATTTAATTATTATCATAAATAATTAAACTCTTCGGAGGGACTCAATTATTTTCACGTAAATAATTAAAGTCTTTGGAGGAATTCTATTACTTTCATACCTAAATAAACAAATTTTTTGAAGGAATTCAATTATTTTCAATACAATAAATTTTAATAAAATTTCCTGCGATAATAAATTTTGTTTTACTAGAATTCAATTATGTTTAATTATACAATTATCATTAAATTTGTGGAAAGATTTTCATTATATTCAAAAAATTTTAATAAAATTCATTGCTGAAGTTCAATTATTTTCAATAAAATTTTAAACAAAATTTCTCAAAGGCATTTAATTATTTTTAATGGAATTTTGAGGAAAATTCTTCAAAACAATTTAATTATTTTCAAAAATACTTGACAGGAATTCAATTATTTTCACAAGTAATAAAATTCATAGGAAGAAATTAATTATTTTCATTGCAATTTAAAAAAAAAATTTCTCGAAAAAATTCAATTTTTTTTTTAAATTTAATAAAATTTAATGAAGAAATTCAATTATTTTTATTACAATTTAAAAAAAAAATTAAAAAATTTTTAAAAAATTTAAAAAATTCTCGAAGAAATTCAAATATTTTCAAAAAATATTGATAACATTTTTTACAAGTATTCAATTATTTTGAATTAAATCTACATTCAATTCCTCGAAATAAATAAATATTTTCATATATTTCAATTCAATTCTGCGAAAAAATTTAATTATTTTTTAAAATTTTGATAAAATTCTTTAGAAGTATTCAATTATTTTCAGAAATTGTAATAAAATTCTTCACAAAAGGATTCAATTATTTTTAATACAATTCTAATAAAATTTTACGAAAGAATTGAATTATTTAATAATATTTTGATAAAATTCATAATAAGAATTCAATTTTTATTCAGTTCTGCGAAACAATTCAATTATTTTCAAAAAAAAATGTATAAAAGCTTTGAGAAAAAAATTCATTTACTTTCATAAGGAATGAAATTATTCGGAGGAATTCAAGTATATTTTCAATATAATTTGAATTTAATTCTTTCAAATAATTCAATTATTTTCAAAAATATGTAATAAAATTTTTCTTAAAAATTTAATAACTTTCATAAAATATTAAAATTCTTCGCTGGAATTCAATAATTTTCAATATAAAATTGAAATCAAATTTCTCGAATAAGTTCAATTATTTAAATTTTTTTTTAATTTTTAATACATTTTTAGGAAAAAATTAAGTTATTTTCAAAAATTTTAATTGAATTTTTCGAAACCTTTTGATTATTTTCTGAAAAAGTTAAAATTCTACTTAAGAATTCAATTATTGTTATAAATAATCAAATTCTTCATAGGAATTAAATTATTTTCAGTACAATTTTAATAAAATTTTTCCGAAGAATTTAATTAGTTTAAAAAATTCTGATATAATTTTTCGAAGGAATATAATTATATTCAAAAATTTTAATTTATATCAAATTTTTGTTTTGAATACTAACATTATAATTCAATTTTATTTAATTTTTGTTATTCAATTTTTTAAACATTAAGGGCATTTGAATCATTATGACGTCACAATTTTAGAATACATTCTTTGCACAAACTGTGACGTCATAATGGTTCAAATGCCCTTAATTTAGAATTTCATTAATTTTAAAAATTTCAAAATGATTTTTAAAAATTATCAAAAATTAAATAAAACACTAAAATTGGAGCCTAAAATATAGGTTGGGGGGGGAGCTGATTAATAAAATAATAATAATTTAGAGGGGGAGGGGGGGACAAGAATTAGATAATAATATTATAATCTAATAATAATAATACTAATATTAATAATGATATTGATATTAATTAATAATTGAAAAACCAGATAAAAATTTGTATTAATAAAAAAATATTCTCTGGCTACAAATAATTTGTACAAAAAAAAATATAAGGTAAATTTTGCTAATTAATAGTAAAAGAAATTTATCTACTAATTTATTTCAAAATTCCAATCAATTCAAAAGCAAATTAGTCAGTCAGTCAGTAAAACACTATAAGTGAAATTAGTTAAAATACTTAAAAGCTTTATTAATTCTAATTTAAAGAGTAAAAAATTGAATGCTAATTAGAAAATAAATGAAATATTATCAAAAATATATTTGTGAAATTTAAAATAATCAGTTGTAATAATTTCCCTTTTTTTCTCTACTTTTCTCTACTTTACAATGTAATATCGAAATGTAATCTTTGAAGGGACAATCTTCTTGGTTTGCAACGTATCTGACGCTGTACATGTGTATAGGGGGAAATGTTTCCGATAATCTCTGATTGCTGATTCATTGCTGGACAAATGCACCCGGTAATGAAATCAGATTTAATTGCATTGGGATGGGACAGAAACTGAAACCCGTTTATTGCTACCAATACTGACGTGGGTGTATTGTATATATTTTATATATATAAAGGATTTATATATTACCGTATTATATAAATGAAAACAGCTAAAAGAGCAATATGCACATTTTTATTGTTATTTAAAAAAAAAATTCAATTATTAAAAGTATTTTTTTCTAAATTAAAAAAAAAATTGATGAAATGAATTTTTTATTTTTGGAGAAACACAAGTTTATTCAGGGTTGCCACAGGTCAGGAAAATGAGGGAAAAGTCAGGAATTTTTAGTAAAAGTACTGGAAAAAATTAAATTTTTAAAATTCATGAGAAAACTCTGAATTTTGATGTTCTTTCTTGTTTGCCTCGGAAACTATAAAATTATCACGAATTTTAATAAAAAAACCTTCAATTTTTTCTATTTTTGACAAGAATTTCTTTTTAAATAACTTAATTTTTCAAGAACTGTCATAAAATTATAAATTATAAATTATTTAATGAATAATTTTTACAATTTTCATAAATACTAGATTCATAGAAGAATTTTAGTTAAAAATACTAAAACAAATAAATTTTGGAAAAGTTACAAATGTGATTCCAAAAATTCAATTATTTTCAAAAGCTAGAAAAATTTTTCGCTAAATTTCAATTATGTTCAAAATTAAAAAAAAAAATTCTCGTCAAAATTTCAATTATCGTGATAGATAATAAAATTCTTCTTCGAAATTCAATTAATAAAAAAAAATTTAATAAAATTCTTGGTAAAATTTCACAGGAATTCAATTATTTACAAAATTTTAAAGAAATTTCTTTGAAATAATTTAATTATTTTCATAAATAGTAAAATTTTCACAGGAATTCAATTATTTAAAATACAAAATTTCATAAAATTTTTCGAAAAATATCAATTATTTAAAAAGATTTTTATAAAATTCGTCGCAAGAATTTAATTATTTAAAAAAAATTTAACAATGTTCTTTTCAAGAATTCAATTCTTTTTAAAAACTCGAAGAACTTGAATTATTTTCATAAATAATAAAATTCTTCATAGAAATTCAATTATCTTTAAAAACTTGAATAAAATTCGTTTGAAGAATTAAATTATTTTCAAAAGTAATAAAATTCTTCGCAAAAATTCAATTATGTTCAAAATTAAAAGAAAATTTTTTGTCAAAATTTCAAGTATCTTTATAAATAATAAAATTCTTCTCCGAAATCCAATTATTTTAAACAAATTTTAATAAAATTCTTGGGAAACTTTTTAATTATTATTTTCATAAATAATAAAAAAATGAAATTATTGAAAAATGTAATTATTCTTAAAAATTTTATTGAAATTTGTCAAAAGAATTTAATTATTTAAAAATTTGTTGATAAAATTCTTTATGAGAATTCAATTTTAACAAACATTCAATTATTCAATAAATTATTACTTCCTCATAGAGGAAGTATTGTAATACCGAAATTTTTTGAGTTCGATTTTTTGATATATCTTTATGTTATTTGACCTCAGGAGTTCAAAAATGACATTTTTATAAAATGTCATTCCGTATGTGTGTGTGTGTGTGTGTGTGTGTAAACATCACATTTTCATAAATATCTCGAAATCATGAAGAGCTTTTGGGCTGGATTTTTTTTTAAATTGTAGATCTCACCTGCGGACATAAAGCGAGAGTACTTTCTAATATATTAATAAAGTTTAACTAAATTTTTTTTTGATTTTTAATTTTCCAAAAAAACGTTTTTTGCCCATAACTTTAAAAAAATGTTAGGACACCTATAAATGTTTTTTCATAATTTTGTAGAGTTTTTTTAGACGCATCTTTTTAGCCCTAATTGAAAATTTTTCGTCCATATTAACCGGAGTTATTAAACTTTTAAAAATCAAAAATTTTGGAAAATAAGACTTTTTTGAAAATTTTGTTGAAAAACATTGAAGTAACTTTAAAATTATCGTTATCAACTTGTAGAGCATTAAAAAACGCTTCGATTGACCTATTTTTGAACCTAATTCGATAATAAATTTCTAAATTA